TCTGGACCCAGCTCTCTTGAAGTTACTGAATGTCGTAGACTTTCTGTTGTTCCCAAGTCACTCACTTTTTTTTGTACTCGTAATGTGTTTATACGCCAATCTGCAGTTAATCATTAGTTAATATTAATTCCAGCTCTTTTTCATGCTCTCTTTTGTTCTGTCTTCCTCCCTAACAATGTGTCAGTGTAACATGTCATTTACGACAAACTATGCAGACGTTATTTTGAATAAGTTCAGAATTTCCCATTTTCTATACAAGACAATACTGTCCTGTGAAATTAACACAGCGCACAGCTATGTAGTACTGTGCTAACATGAATCCATCCATATATCCAATGTTTCAAACTGGATGATTAAACATGGTAAAGTCATTGGTTTTACAGTTCCACACATCCCATCAAAGGCTTCAAAAACAAGATTTCAGAAACCAGCTATGTCCACCTTTTATACTGTCTATGATCTGCACAACAACCATAACAGGACCAGAGAAGCAGGATCCTCATCTTTCAAGCTCTAGTTACTCTAGTCATGACTGCACAAAAATTACAGGCATTGAGTTGTAACATTCAGCTGGAGAGAAAAAGCTCATACTGCTGCATCATAATTACCACACTAACTGAAACAGAGTGGTCATTTATTTTCTCATCTACCTATATTTTACATCTTTAAATTGATACAAGTATCCGACTAATTTCAGGCTTGAGATACAAACAGACAAATGATTGCATTAACTTGAGGAACAGGGCCTGAAAATCTGACCTTCAGAGCCAGTGAGATACTGCGAAAAAGATGAGACATGCAAAAGAATGGAAAAAATAGCTGAAAGTTGGCTCATTTCATTTTCCAGTTCTCCTGAATAAATCAAAGTTGGTTTAATAGAGAGGAACCTTGCTCTCAGATAGACATTTCAGGGGAAGATGTCCAGTGCCGAATTCCATTCTGTGCACAGGCAACGTCTCAGATGATAAAACCCCTCTCGGATGCCGTTGGGCCTTTTCATCACTCAGGTAACATAAATGCAATTTTTAGGGTGTTCTCAAGTCAAGAAGTCCAATTTCCCCCTCACTCCTCAGAAAACCTTCATCTAGCAAGAAATCAAGGGGGAGGTTTCTGTGTAGTTTGAAGCACTGTGGTTTGGACTGAGGCCAGGCTTTCCCCGAGGCCTCATCGATCTGGCACCAGACTCTGATCAGATGGGTTTTCATTCCATTTCATATTGTATTAAAAAGCAGAACATAATCCAGGGATCCTTTTGAGGCATCTTCTTTCATTTTTAAAGATTTAAACATGAATCATAACGATTTTCTAGGTAATGATTTTATTTCAAGTGTAGTGATGTTTAAAGCGGTATACTGCACATATATCTTTGTGCCTGTGCCGTGTAACAGAGGGTCAGAGGTATCAACTGAGATTTAGTGTGCCACCTGTTCCCAGTGGTTGGGTGGGTAGTTGCTGGCGAAGACCTGTGCTCTGCTGTGCACATCTCTGTAATAAAGCAGGCACTCAGGTATGAAATCTCTGCAATGAGAATAAATGTTGTGAATAAATTGTTGCTCGCATGTGTCACTTCATCACATGCCACCTCAACCCCATCTTCCTTCCACTCAGGGTCTATAATTTGATATGCCTGGGTCTTGATTACTATTTACAGTGTTGTCAAGGTGAGCAAAAAACTCAACATGGAGTGTAAACAGATTCACTGTCACCGCTTCTCTGAATCAGCTGCTGTTGACTTTATTTTCACTCACTGTTTCCTTCGCTCCCTTCATTCCCTCCCTCCTCCTTTCCTCATTCCCCTCTGAAGATTGCAGTTGTCAGAGCTCCGCATTGCTTTCGGCATAGCAGTGATCGAACAGCAAACTGCATCACATTGGCTTACAGTAAATCATGTCAGAGTCTTTCTATGAATTTTGATTAAAGAAAGCAAATTATGCTTGGTATCGACAAGAGTGTGTTGTATGACAACATAAATTCTAAATTCAGACGGCGTTGGTAGTCGGGCACTACCTGTGTTGATAGTCATTTCTTTCTTTCTTTTTTATGCATTTTCTGTCTCCATTTATCAAAAATCTTCACACGGTCAGTATGACAGAAGTCAGTGAGGGATATGTTGTGCATCATGTTCCACGGCTTTGACTTTTCTTCAACTTTCTCTCACATTCAACTAAACTGCAATTATATTTTAAAGGAAACATAACTGCATCCACAGGGAAATATTCACAAATTTGAAAAGTTGCGAATATGTTACTGCCAAACCTTTTGTTTAGCAAATATAATAGTTTCATACAATGTCCTCTAATTCAATAGCATTAATTAATGGTTATGCTTAGCCACAAATCACAAAATCTAAAAAGAAATTGTTGTCCTCTTAAATATGGTAATAGATCACAATAATTTGGAACTGAAGATGTTTGGGAGGAAAAACTCTGAGTTTTTTTTTTAATAATTTTCATAGCTCCATTTTTTTTCTAGCACCCAAACCACTGAAAAGAACAGTTCACATGACTCTGTGATACTGAGATGCATTATACATAAAATGTTGCTGGACATTACCTCATGTTTGCTGTCTTTTTCAATGTGTTTCATATCACTTAGAAGATTGCACAAGGTGCTTACTAAAAGCAAAACAATCTAAAAGAATATGGAAACTAAAGAGGTGGCTGACTTTGATTGTCTTTGGCTTCACACTTGAACCCAGCGGTCCCAAACCCCCGGGCCGGTCCGTGAGTTGTTTGGCACCGGGCCGCGAGAGTTGAGACTCAGGTGTGAAAATTATGATTTTCATGGTCTTTATTGTTATTTTTTTATCGTTAACTCTGTGTCCCTGGGTCTTTTCCTGTGAGTTATGAATAAATCTTTTTTTTATTTTTTATTGGTACTGGTACTGGGGTTTTTTGTAGTATTTATCCGCAACACCTTAAAGGCCGGTCCGTGAAAATATTGTCGGGCATAAACCGGTCCATGGTGCAAAAAAGGTTGGGGACCGCTGCTTTAACCCATCTACATTGGCAGTATCATTCCTCCTGTTGGAGGTCATGTTGGTCTTTGTGCAACATCTAAAAAGAAATTCGAACATGTTAGTTTTGGGTATTCAACCGTGATTGAAACCCATCCAGGCCTGCCATAACAGTTAGTTTTTGGATATAATGATTGGATTTATATAGCACTTTTCTAGGCACCCAAAGCACTTTACAATACCACTATTCATTCACTCTCACATTCATACACTGGTGGAGGCAAGCTACAGTTGTAGCCACAGCTGCCCTGGGGGGCAGACTGACAGAAGCGAGGCTGCCATATCGCGCCATCGGCCCCTCTGGCCAACACCAGTAGGCAAGTAGGGTAAACGTCTTGCCCAACGACACAACGACCAGGACAGAGAGCCCAGGGATCGAACCGGCGACCTTCCGGTTACAGATGCGATTCCCAACCCCCTGAGCCACGGTCGCCCATGATATAAAGTCCTTTGTGTCTTTGGATTGCCCATAAATCACCAACAAAACCCTGTTACTATGTTATGCATTTCAGACACACGTTTTTATAGTTCTATTGTCAAAATGGCTCATTTTACATTTGAATGCACAACACAAAATGACTGCGACTACACACAGTCTTTTTCAGGGGTCACCATAAATGCTTGAATTGAAGGGTTCTGGACTTAGATAAGTCACTGGATGTGAAGTGAAATGTTTTCAAGAAAGAAAGAAGTCCAGTCGTCTGAGAACCTACACGACACTATTTCAGGGGTCACGTTTTCATCCAATTTATTTTTCATCTCTCAACTCTATATAGAAACTTTTTTTTTCCCTCCTGGAAGTGGAAAGTTTTCTGAGCACATCTAAATAAGATCGCTGAGATGGCCCAGGAAGTAAAAAAAAAAAAAAAAAAATCCCAAATATATTGCAAGAGAGGACATGTGTGGGGTGAAATGCTGAAGATCTGACATCTGTAGGTTATCTTTGCAGGCATGAACCTGTTACCTGTCACTGAGAGAGAAAGTTTTCAGGTTGGGAGATAAATGCCGTCAGTGTTCTAGTCTGAGAGCTGTGAGATGCTGAGATGTGTAGGAAGTGTTGCTGTTGAGCTTTGGATGTAAGGATAAAATGCTGGTTAGAAAACGTGAAGTCTACACATCAACTATTTAAAAACACTGTAAATGTGTGTTTTGGGCAGAGTTTGATCAATTAATGTTAAATTGATAGTTTTCCAATGATGGATATGAGTGACCAGCTGAAAATCCAAAACTGGATTTTGACATATATGCTAGCAGCTTCAGGAAATAAAACACCAACAAAACGCACCTGTTTTATATGTAAGGTAAGCTAATTTTTGAAGGAGGAATGAATAAACTGAGTTTCTTTTTCTCATTACAGAAGATTTTTTTATTTGAGCCCTTAACTAAAATTTAAACAAATCCCCAAACAATTTAGTTTTTACCCATTTCCAGCTGTCTAAATGTCAGAATTGCTTCTTATCTAGCGTCAGTCATTTGGAGTATATACTGGGTATAAACCATTTCTCTATAACAAAACATAAATAGATTTTTTTTCTGTTCATTTATTTTGTTTTGAATTAGTTAGAAAAAACAACTTTAATTTGTTTGTATCTATGTCGCTGCTCCACACTGGGGTAATTGTGGGTACATGCCAATAAAATATGAAGTCATGTTTACTGCAACTGCTCTTATTTTCCCTGGCTGTGCCTGGACATAAAAACAAACCTCCCACTTTGAAAATGTTACTTTATAACTGTGACTCTAGTAAAGGATAATTTACTGTACATGCATACTGTGTACTTCATTACCATATCTAAGAAACAACAACTGCAGCAACTCAGTCTCCACCCAGAATTATTATTATTATTATTATTATTATTTATTTATTTATTTATTTATTTTTAAATAGAATACCTTAGGAAATTGTATTTGTGTCTCACCAAGTATATTCACAGTTTAAAAAAAATGTGTTTTGGAAGTAAGTTTTTCTTTTGTCTCTTCCCAGGACCAGTAGCTGTAATCAGTGGTGAGGAAGACTCTGCTAGCCCTCTTCACCATGTCAACCACGGGATTATTACCCCCTGTACTCTGGATGCGAGTCCTGATGCGGTTGTCATAGGGATGACTCGTATTCCTGTAGTGGAGAACCCTCAGTACTTTAGACATGGACACAACTGCAACAAGCCAGCCACCCGTAAGTCCTTCCAGTGTATCTGACAGCAGTTTAAAGTGCCAGTATCGCCTCTGAAAAAATCTTCTGCTCAATCTTCTGTAAAAGTCACAACATCAGCATCGAAGCAATGCTACTTTTTACATGGAGTCTGAATGAGTGCAGTCATATTGAGGAATAGATATGAACAAGGTTATAACATTCTGAGGAGATTTTTATGTGTAGCATTGGCTAATTACCATAAAAGGCTAGGACACAATACTTATTTATGTTCAGCCTAACCTGACACTTCATTCAGAAGCAGCAGGTTTGATTGAAAAGAGAAACTGTGCTGGATTTTTGGATAACATCACAAGCAGAATAAAAATCTGAGCTCACAGAGCTGCATTGCATTCACACCGAAGATAAGATAAACCAGGCAACCGAAGAGGGACGTGAGGGTCTAATTCACATGTGCATCATACGCAGCTAGAGTCTCGCAGTTTATTTTAGATTCTTTTTAAACTAGTGCTGACAGGCCTTAAACAAGGCCTGACAGCATCCACACGGCCACCATTATGGTGATTCATGCGGCACATGTTTATAGTTGTTCCAAATGGCCAACCATGCAGCACTGTAGTGCAAAGGTAAAAACTGTCACCTCACGCGTTCTGGTTTGAATCTGGGGGCCACCTGCGGCCTTTCTGTGTGAAGTTTGCATGTTCTGCCTGTGCGTAGGTTGCTTTTCTCCTTGTACTTCAGCTTGCTCCCACAATCCAGAGATATGCATGTTAGGTTGACTGGTGAGTCCAAATTTGCAGTGTGTTCACACCTCTAATAGACAATGTTTAACCCACATGCTGTGGGCACAGGTGACATGTGGGTTAAGGTTCTTTGCTTCTTTGAGTAAGAAACATCATTTTGGCATATTCCTCTATCATAGTGCTATCCCTCATTACTACCGGCTACCATTATTACAAATTATATTGCAGCGTTTTTCTAGGATCTGGCTAATTAAACTAAAACTGCAGGGCACATATGAAGCAGACAGAGTGCCACAGCATGTTATGTAGTGTAAAGAAAAGAGCAGCATCTGGTCAGAGAGCCAGATATCAAACACCACATCTTTATGAGGCTCTATGAGGCTGTTGTACCTCCATTATAATTAGCTGTGTATCTTTTCAATGAGAATTGCTGAGGCCCTCGGGGCAAAGGTATAATTTAGATTCATCTAGAGAGTCGGCGTGATCATATGGTGTTTGCATCAGGTGGCATGGTGCCAGGCTTTTCATATAGGGCCTGTTTAGCAAAAGCCTTCTTCTGTATATCAGTGACTGCCGTTCCAATACCCTGAAAAAAAATATCACATGCTTTCCCTCGGGAGTCATGTTCCAGGTTGGAGAAAGACAACAGTACTTTAAGGCCTAATTACTCACAATTACATTGACTGCTCAAGAGAATCAGCAGAAAACTACTGTGCCAACAGCGAGCCTCAGCCTAACGCCTGCTGCTTTTATTTGAAATGATACCAGTCAAACCAACCAGATTTAGTTAGGAAGCAGGAGCTCTTCCTGTCTGACAGTCCCGTTCAGCACAGATTTACGTCATTTACAACTTGGTTCAAAATGGCTGCTGGACAGGCTAACAGAAGTTGACTTCTGACTTGCAGCCAATGAGAATGAAGGAAATCCCATTTAGAGGTGATAAATAAATGACTGGTCTTATGTATTATGAATTGCATGAATTGTTAATGTCTAGCCAGTGACTGATTTATAACATCTCACGCCTTGCACAGGAGAGCTGATCGGGAGCTAATGAATAAATGACAGTGGGCACAAATGAAACTTTCTCTCAATCACCGTGCACCTGGAATTGAAAGTCGCACCATGAATGAGCGCCATGACAGCTTCGACTTAGTCTTTACTGAATGTTCTTCCTCTTAGTGTGCAGTTCCTTTTGTTCTTTTTTTCTTTTCTTTTTTTTTAATTTAATTCTGTGTGCATGCGTTAAAAAATAAAAAAGAAACCGTAGGAAATGAACCCTGAATTCATCACAAGGTCATAATGGCCGCTGCTTCCTGCCATCGGCTACAAAAACAAAATGGATCCAAACGGTTTCTGCCTCCGCCGATCATTCGCTGAATATGAATGCATTCTTTACCCTGAGGACACAGGGAGGGGAAATGTCTCTGTGTATCCATGTCTATATTTGCAGCTGGTGTGTGTGTCTATGGGAGTGAAAATTAATGCATGGATCTGAATGTACGCATACTCCTAGTGTGGTTTTTATGTACCAGGAATTTGCCGCATGTCACCTTAGTTTTCTACTTTCATCTGTATAATTGATGATTGATAAGCATCCCAAGTCAAGGGTCCCTTAGGTGCCCCCAAGGGCCTCCCAGGTCCAAATTGTCTACCTGGCCTCCTACCGACTTATTGTTTTGCACCTTCACTTGCCAACACAAGAGCTGCACTCAGCTCAGATACAGCATAGCTGCTTTCTGGTACTCGGCCACTAATCCATAATGTATTCATTCATTTACTTGAAAGCTTCTTATCCAGGAGAATAGCTTGCTGCCTGGGTGTCTCTGTCTCTCTCTCTCTCTTTCTGTCTTTCACACATACACACACATACATCCATAGTTCAGTCTAGCAATAGAGACGCTACCTAACACATACATAAATTTAACACACCCATACTTCTCCTTACCTGTGCCCATCAAGAGTGCACTAATGTGCTGGTCAGTCCCAGCCTGCTTCTGCTACCTCTGGGTGATTTATAGCGTCCCTTGCTGTCATGCTGTGTGCATTTTGAAATCAGCTCCAGCGATAACAATGAGGGGGAGGAACCGTATTTAGCTGTTGTTCTGGCTGCTGTGTGCCATTCTGGCTCCTGTTAAAACAGCTGCATTGAAGGGAAACTGCCTGCTGCAAAGCTTACACCAATGATTCCAGTGTGCCCTTACCAAATGTATTATTCATGAGTGTTTGATCTACAAGTCAAACCTGCCAAAAGAATATAAATATTGGCACCAATGGTTAAATAGTTCCAGTCACACTAAATAGAGCGCACCGTATCTTGGCTGTTTAGGCTGTGCCACCTGAGATCAGTGCTGCAATCAGTCCCTCGCTGCGGGAGGGACTTTGAAAGATGAACATTAACTTCATCACATTATAGTTGCCCTCTAGTTGAACCATCAACCTGTACACATGTAGAATTAAACACGCTGGAAAACACAGCTGTCATTCTCACACCAATTAAGAAACACGCTGCAGCATCATGCAATTGGTTGATATTTCGGTTGAACTGGTGGCCTCTAGTTTTGCTGTGTTAAATGCGTGAGCCGTGACTGATGATGACGTTTGTTGAGATGAGCTTTTTTAGGGGGGGTTTCCACTGAAAAAGGCCAATCCTGGGGAAATGTAGCCGCATTAGGGAGATAAAGGTAGGAAAGGCAAAGGACAATTCTTTAGCCTAATGACAGATCTATATCTATCCAGATCCGCTGTCTCCCAGCAAGTGGCTTTGTTTTATCACCGAGCTTGCTATTTTAATTACGGATTTGTCACATCCCGCTGGCCAAAATTAGACAATAGCTTTTGATGTTGGAGAAGCATATAGCCTTTCATTATAACCATGTTATTAGGGATAGTACTTCTGGGCAGGTTTCGGACAAACCCTCACTCTGCCCCCTCTACATTTGTGCAGCAGAGACAAAGTAATGCTCAAGATGCTGTTTTTGAAGATCAAAATGTTTCCAGCAGGGACAAGGAGTGACTAATTTGGCAACTTGAAAGCGAAGCAAATGAATGGAAATGCAGCGCAGATTGATTGAAAGGCAGTTATCATGTTCCAAGGCTGCAATTCTATGAATTATAGTTTGAAACAGAACAGACCCACAGGCTAGACAGTTGTGAATTCAAACAACCTATTTAAGTGTCGTCGTCGTCCCAAAAAAAAAGTTCAAGATGATTTCCTTTCAGCTTCAACCTGGAAGGTTCTTTGCTGAACAAAATCTGAAATGATGCTTCTTCATGTCTGATAAAATTGAGTGAAAACTGTCTCCTGAAAGACAAAAACCTACAAGTAGATTTGCTGAAGATCTCACAAGGTTTTCGATTGAGAAAACCAGAAAGAAATCTAAAACACACTTAAAATACAGAAATATTTATCCAGTTCTTTTTTTACTCCCGTTATTATAAATTGAAATTAATTGCTCGCAGCATTATAACTTGGGACATATACTGGAGTGTGAGAGTATTAAAGTACACCAACACTGATTTGTTTTCTGTATTAACACAGGAACATACAGCTGTGCATTTGAATTTAAATAACACATTCTTGTCAGTATTGACAGGTCAGCACCATAATGAATAATTAATTCCCATCACAGAGGACCCAGCCCACAGCATTTCAGCTACAGAATAATACAAATCTAAATAACACCAATTTTCCCAAGCAAAGTTACATAAACGTGCTTTTCTGCTTTTATAATATAAACACAATTTATACTGTATCTATGGGGACTAACAGCTAAGGGTGGGTAACATGCCTCATCTCCTTCAGGATGTCAACTATAACTAGTTAAGACTTTTAAAGAAACTCCCATGAGCCGCAAGTGTTAAGAACTTAGTGCTTAAGTGCTTAAAGCGTAACGTTTAATTCAGCAATAACAATAAGGCTGTGCTTAGGGAGAAGTTATTGTCAAAAGGAAATCAATCAGAATAAGCGTTATAGTATGGCACCACTGTTAAATCTTAAATATGTAAATATATGCAGTATATCTATTAGTATATAAATAAGAATTTGTGTTAATTGTGTGATACCTGCAAACAACAGCCATTTCCTTCTTTTGTGACTGTATTTTCATATATGAGTTAAATCAGGATTCATTTTTATTTCATTCTGGCCATATTGTATAAAAACACTGGACCTTTGTCACCAATGTCCAGCTTCACTGTGTTTCTTTTTCCTGCTTTTTAATAAAACTCAACAACTCCTTCAGTATCACACTTAGCCTGTGAGTGTGTGAGCAGGTTCTGTGG